CCCCCTTGTACTTGCCCCCCCCCCACCCACCCACCCCCACCCCACACGCACTCCCCAAGGGTGGAGGGAGGCTTGGGGTGCAGCCCAGTCCCAGTTTCTTTGATGCTTGACACTCAGCTTCAAAGTCCTCCGCATCAAAGCCAGGGACTTGGGATCAGGCCTAGCAGCAGCCGGGCATCCTGCCATACACACAAGAAAAAGACAGGATAGAACCGTCTTCCCTTCATCTGACTTTAACAAGACTAACTTTCTTACAGGGGACACAGTGAGACAAAGTTGATGAAATTAAACTTCAGGGCTAAACACGGCACTCAAAACATGCTGAAAGTGTTTTTCTCAGGGTAATATACAGTATGAAGTAAAAATGAGATGAAAATAAGACAGGTTTGATTTGTAGAAATCAGTACAAGTGGGACAAGGTCAATTTTTCACCACAAATACAACAAATTAATACATAATGCAAAATTTAATTATGTATTTTGAAATGATTTGGAAATATCTCCAGTTATAACATTTAAAAAATTACCTTGTGCAACTTTAAAACCACCTGCCTAATATGTAGGTCCTCCTCACGCCACCAGAACATCTCTGTCTGTTGAGGAAATGACGCTGCAGACCTCCGCAGGTATTTGGTACCAAGACATCAACAGCTGATCCTTTAAGTCCTGAAAGCTGTGAGGTGGGGCCTCCATGGTTCAGACTTCTTTGTCCAGCACATCCCACAGATGCTTGATTGGACTGAGATGTGGAGTCTTTGGATGCCAAGTCAACATCTTGAACTCTTCGTCATGTTCCTCAAACCTTTCCTGAACAGTTTGTGTAGTGTGACAGTTGCACTGTCCTGCTGAATCAGGGAATACTGTTGCCATGAAGGGCAGTAAATGGTCTGCAACAATGTTTAGGTGGGTGGGACGTCTCAAAGTAACATCCACGTGAATGTCAGGACCCGAGGTTCCCAGTAGGACACTGTCCAGAACATAACACCGCCTCTGCTGGCTTGTCTTCTTCCCATAGTGCATCCTGGTGCCATCTCT